ATGAATAAATAAAACACTTCTCACTAGAATCAATGCCACTAATAATAGGATACATTTTCATAAATATTACAGATCAATGATGACATAAAATATCATATCAATATTTCACTGAAACTATCAAAGCTTAAAACATCAATTGTGCAATGATGACCTCTTTTACTGTCAATAAAATGGTGAATATTTCCACAGGAGGATTTACTAACTCGTGCTCCAAATATCTGTCACTTTATTTCTGAATACATAATTTATTGACATTATGTGTGAATTATAAATATACATATAAAAATGTAGATTATTGTTGTATTGCTTCAACAAGACACATGCTTACAAGTTTTATCAAACACATTGAATCTAGCAAACAGAACAGAAGTTAAAGACCCGTACTGTGAAGATTTTCTAACAGAAATCATGTGACTTAACATCGCTAACTAGAATATAGTGTACTGTATTTTAGCACTCAAGCATATATCTGTTTATTAGTGCACCAAATCCGTTTATAGCACTGTACAGGAATTCACATGTCGGTGTAACACTGGTACTGTTACAGTATATTTATTACATTAGTGACAGGTATGTATATTTCATAGGGAACTTACAGATTGTTTGTGCAATTCTTCAAAAAACAACCATAAAAGACACATTTCATTCGTTCTCAAACCATTTTTTGAGGACTTATGCAGAGTATTTGGCACATACATGAAAAAGCAGGAGTTAATCAACATTAAAATGCACCCTCCTTCTTCTATTTGACATGTCAATTAGGTGTATCAAACACTTCTTCCGATTGACATGTCAATTAGGTGTATCAAACACTTCTTCATAGAGAGATACTATTTTTACACAGATATAAGTTAAGCTACAAACTGAGGAATACAGTGAAATCGTGTAACACTAACATTGCGACCAAGAGATTAGTTTATAGACAGGCGATATCACAATACAGACTCCAAGAAGTCTTCATACCTTATCTACTAGAGAGGGACGTGAACACATATTTCTATAAAGGTTGAAATCTTTAACAAGTTCTAATGAAGAGCAAGGTTTTATATACAGTTTGTCATCTTGGTGGTATCTGTTTTGAAAAGACACTTTTCTGTTCCAATAATACATGTAAACAAAAAAAAAGTGTTGACTGTATAATTGGCTTAACAAAGAATTGTTGGATAATCTTCAAGTTAAACTAAAATCTGTGAATTTATGATGAAGCTTCTCTTTAAAAAGGACACCAACAAACTTATAGTAAAACATATTTATGTATACATTACTCAATTTTGAGAGCAGCCACATACAATTTAAACACCCTCCTAACAGGTGACTGTTGAGTATTTTATATCACACATGATATGTTCAGTACAAAATAAATGCAAATACCAGGGTAAGGTTACTCCAATATAATTCAAATAGTTTTTGACACGATTCATTGATCCTGGTGTGTTACCAAATTATATATACAAACTGTTGTTCAGGTCAATACTAAAAACTTGAAAACCTAGAGTTGACAAAACGAACAATAAATAATTAATATGCAATAGTAACTCTAGTAAAGCATCATATTACACGTAACCTGCTGCTTCCTATTCTATACAGGCTTACTGCTACCAATCAATGAAGCACTACACATCACTTGTAGCTGTCCATTTTGTAGTCGAAATCATGAAATAGTTATGATTATATATGTTCCTTGACTATTTACAGCACACAAAAATCTATAATCCTCCTTAGACTGACAGGAAAGAAACTACACAAGGCTCTTTTTTTTTTTTTTTGCGCAAATATTTGGTTTACAAATGTGACAAAAGAGCATATGCAGAATCTTTGACATGGTCGTAATCGTAACCTCCAGCCTGAAACAATTCCAGAGTGAAAGGATTGACCTTTAACCTTTAAACCCCGAAGAACAAACATTATAGGACAAAATCTCAGGAAACAAGATTTTCAAATTCCTCAAATGTGAGAGAGTCAATTTTACGAGGAGGTGGAGGGGGAGGGGGGACTTTAATTTTGATATTTGCCTCCTCTGGGTGTGCCACCTCCCGGTTAAAAGTGCTCTGAGGGGACGAGTCGACTGACTGCCGCCGGGCATGGTTATATTGGTCTGTATCACATATTTCCAGTGGAATTTTGTGTTTTGTTGTTGCTGTAGCTCGCACTTCCCGATTGTCAATATATTGAATGTCAGAAGTAGTCACAAAGTCTGCTGACATTTCGTTGCCTTTAAAAGCCGTTTCTGTGTGGTTGTTGCGCGAGTTATTGACACTGTTGTCCATTTCTGCACCACTATTACGACCAGCAAAGCATTTCACGTTGTTATTGTTGTTTACACTATTATCATTTAGGTGCGAACTTGATGAACTTGTTACTGTAGAGAAATAATCACTGTCCCCCTTTATCAACAGGTTCATCTCTTGTGAAGTAATACTGTCCATGCTTACTTGCGAAATTGTTGAATCTCTGTACGATTTTGAGTTTCGGAATTCTGGCGGTGGTGCAATCTTTGGTGTCTTGGTCAGTTTAAGTTCAAGCTTGTTTCCACTAGCATCTTGATTCGGCAGGGGTGTAATGATTTTCAGGTGCTCCTCATTGGAGTTCCGTGGAAAGTAACTCTCCACATTATCATTATACCCATTTGCAAACGGATTGCCAGTCACTGAGGATAAATCCCCGAACTGCCCGACAGGTTCCCCATAAAATCCGTCGGGTGAACTATACGATACGGGCTGTCCGTGTATGATGTGCTGCCAGTATGCACTGTCTGGTTTGGACAAGTTTTCCGTGGACATTTCTTTATGTCCACTATCCGGAGAGTCTGTGTCAAAGTCAGACTTGTTGTGCCGGATAAAGGAGGATGAGTCAGTCATAGAACCCATGTAGGAACTGTCCAGGTCCTGTTGATCAGGGGTGAAGATGGGCCCCACCTGGGGAGTCGTCGGGTCAGGCAACATGGAGAACTAGCAAGAAATATTAAATATACACATTAATCAAATACAAATTAAGGTAAAATACATCGGAATGACGACCTGATTAATATCTTCCTTTCTCCTATGTACATGTAGTACATTAATTACTCATCAATAAAGTATATTCCTAAAAATTAATACATATCTTTTTTTGCTTGAAATTGTGTTTAAAATTTGTTATGTGTTAAACATTGTATTCAATGACTTCGAAGCTATCAAAATATGTAGCAAAATTTTACATATGAGACCTTCAAAACATCCAAGAATAAATCGGTCACAATTGTCAGAAACATATTCTTTTATCATTTATAGAAGAAATAGGCTTCTTGTTCTTGGTGTTTTGAAAGTATCTTTTCATCGTAAGATTTATCTCCCTTATACCATCTTTTGAAGGTATATCCACACAAGGGAAACTAATCTTATAATGAGCTGTAGTGAAGAGTAGCCTTGTCAGATGTTAGTGAAAATGAAACATTTTTGGTGAAAAGTGACAGAATAATGTATATTATGCATCTCTATTTGTTAATATCTATTTTAGAAAATTAAATTTCTTACAAACAAGTTATTGTTAAGCAAGAGGGATTAATTATATACATGTAGTATCTTAAAGATTTTACTAATACCGTATTCGACCTAATAACAGCACCCCTACCTTTTTTCTGGGAAAGAGAATTGGTGCACTTAATTAAAACTGGTATAAGTGGCGTGTTTTTTTTTAAATATTATTGATCTGCCAATATAATCTTCAGTCTTTTGACCAAAGACTTATGTCCTTTAGCTTTTATATTACTGGGCAATGTAAGCCAGCAGTCTAGCATATTCTCCTGTTTCACCATTAGGCCAATTGTCTCCGTAACATTATAGGATTCATCCTTTGAAAGGTTGCACCAATGTTTGGGAGGTTGATTCAAACACATACGAACACGGTCAGTTTCAGCAAGTTTGAGCATGAAAGGGATTTATTAAGCACACCCTCTTGTGTTTTGTGAGGGCACAGTGTGCTAATTATTAAGCGATCTACGTTAATTCAAATAAATTTAATGACTTTAATAATGAAAATACTGAAAGGATTCACAAATATTCAGAGAAACAAATAATCTCTGGCATAGAACTCAGAGATGACTTAGCTATCCACTATTGCTAATGAAATCAACATTACTTGTAACTGTGATGGTGGAGGAAGCAGAGTTTCCATGGATGCTGATGTGCCTTTGACCTGGATCTCAAGTTCATGTAATCTAGTAACAAGCTCTGCCATGTGTTCCAGCATTTCCCTGTTGTGGACCAACAGCTGGTGAGCTCTAGCCTGGAGAGACAGAGAGAAATCAGAAGATTGAGAGTTATATACACGTCATTATGCCAGAGAAACATAAATGTTGGGATTCCTCACGTTTATAACAATACTCCATAAGGACATAGGTCAAGACCATGGGAATTTGATCGAAGTCAGTATTTATTAAATTATACCACAATAACATGAAAATATAAACAATTTATGTATTGATAACCTTGAACATTCTCACGTTTAGTATATATGTTTGTGTGAAATGTTCATGGCTTTTATTTTGGAGTGATATGAAGAACAGCATGGTCTCTACATATACCTGGTAATTTGAGAACTAGTACAATGTATAACCTCTAGAACAAACAGTTCTCCTGATGAACCTCTCAAGAGGTGAAAGCGCTAGGAATGTACTTATACACTCTTGTCATATACGTTACCTGAGATTCTATAGATATATACATGTTACCTGAGAATCGGTACATGTAGTAACAGACCATACCTGAGATTCTATGGATATATATATGTTACCTGAGAATTGTTACATGTATAGTAACAGACCATACCTGAGATTCTATAGATATATATATGTTACCTGAGAATCGGTACATGGAGTAACAAACCATACCTGAGATTCTATAGATATATATATCTATATGTTACCTGAGAATCGGTACATGTACTAACAGACCATACCTGAGATTCTATGGATATACATATGTTACCTGAGAATTGTTACATGTATAGTAACAGACCATACCTGAGATTCTATAGATATATATATGTTACCTGAGAATCGGCACATGTAGTAACAGACCATACCTGAGATTATATAGATATATATATGTTAATTACCTGAGAATCGGTACATGTAGTAACAGACCATATACCTGAGATTCTATATATAGATATATACATGTTACCTGAGAATCAGTACATGTAGTAACAGACCATACCTGAGATTCTATAGATATAGATTTATATGTTACCTGAAAATCGGTACATGTAGTAACAGACCATACCTGAGATTCTATAGATATATATATGTATATTTTACCTGAGAATCGGTACATGTAGTAACAGACCATACCTGAGATTCTATAGATATATATATATATGTTACCTGAGAATCGGTACATGTAGTAACAGACCATACCTGAGATTCTATAGATATATATATATATATTACCTGAGAATCGGTACATGTAGTAACAGACCATACCTGAGATTCTATAGATATATATATATATGTTACCTGAGAATCGGTACATGTAGTAACAGACCATACCTGAGATTCTATAGATATATATATGTATATTACCTGAGAATCGGTACATGTAGTAACAGACCATACCTGAGATTCTATAGATATATATATGTTTACTGAGAATCGGTACATGTAGTAACAGACCATATACCTGAGACTCTATATATATATATATATGTTACCTGAGAATCGGTACATGTAGTAACAGACCATATACCTGAGATTCTATAGATATATATATATATGTTACCTGAGAATCGGTACATGTAGTAACAGACCATACCTGAGATTCTATATATATATATATGTTACCTGAGAATTGTTACATGTATAGTAACAGACCATACCTGAGATTCTATAGATATATATATGTTACCTGAGAATCGGTACATGTAGTAACAGACCATTCCTGAGATTCTATAGATATATATATGTTACCTGAGAATCGGTACATGTAGTAACAGACCATACCTGAGATTCTATAGATATATATATGTTACCTGAGAATCGGTACATGTAGTAACAGACCATACCTGAGATTCTATAGATATATATATGTTACCTGAGAATTGGTACATGTAGTAACAGACCATACCTGAGATTCTATAGATATATATATGTTACCTGAGAATTGGTACATGTAGTAACAGACCATATACCTGAGATTCTATATATAGATATATACATGTTACCTGAGAATCAGTACATGTAGTAACAGACCATACCTGAGATTCTATAGATATATATATATATATGTTACCTGAGAATCGGTACATGTAGTAACAGACCATACCTGAGATTCTATAGATATATATATATATATGTTACCTGAGAATCGGTACATGTAGTAACAGACCATACCTGAGATTCTATAGATATATATATATATATGTTACCTGAGAATCGGTACATGTAGTAACAGACCATACCTGAGATTCTATAGATATATATATATATATGTTACCTGAGAATCGGTACATGTAGTAACAGACCATACCTGAGATTCTATAGATATATATATATATATGTTACCTGAGAATCGGTACATGTAGTAACAGACCATACCTGAGATTCTATAGATATATATATATATATGTTACCTGAGAATCGGTACATGTAGTAACAGACTATACCTGAGATTCTATAGATATATATATATATGTTACCTGAGAATCGGTACATGTAGTAACAGACCATACCTGAGATTCTATATATATATACATGTATATATATGTTACCTGAGAATCGGTACATGTAGTAACAGACCATACCTGAGATTCTATAGATATATATATCTATATGTTACCTGAGAATCGGTACATGTTAAGTAACAGACCATACCTGAGATTCTATAGATATATATATATATATGTTACCTGAGAATCGGTACATGTAGTAACAGACCATACCTGAGATTCTATGCGGGCAGCTGTCTCTGCGGCGAGCTGGTCCTTGAGGAGGTGGACTTGAGCGAGCGCCACCTGGGTGTGGTGCTGGTTCTGTTCCACATGGTCCTGTAACAGCTGGACATGATGCTGGACGCTGGCTGGATATACACCAGCATCCTCACCTGTCGTGTGTAGCGGAGACGCCTTGCCCTTACGTTTCACCTGCAAAAAAAACCAACGTATAGATATTTCAAGTGCTTTTTGCATATATAAATGACAAAAGTTTTGCATAGTGGTATACAGTAAACTCCACAAATGACAAGATTGTCTGTTACCAGACATTGTATTTGCTAGATTTTGCCAAAGGAAAGGCTTTGTAGTGTTCTTTTGGTTTATAAAATACCATGTAGACATTTTAGATCTAGTCATGCAAGAAGCTACAATGTATAAACAGAAGCAAATTAAATGATTTTCAAAATCCCTGCAATCTCAAGATAAATATTTCTTACTGCAGATACGGTAATAATAGTACAACTCTCTTGTAAGTACCCATTCCCTTTTTTCAGCATATTACTACATGATATATAAGTGTTCCTTTCCCAAACAGCTTCCATTTTGGTTGAAGTATAAACTGTGTATTATACATTAGTCTTACAATCTAACTGTTTTCCAGGACATTAAAAACAACATAAAAGGAAACAATTTTGAATGCCTCCCTGGTAAAATGTCTGTCAGTTCAGTTTGCTATACAGTAAATGCCACTAACTAGATTTTCTTATTTTTCATAAGCGTCCCCTTCAGCCAATTACAATGTCTACAGCAAATGGTTTTACCACTGAAAACCCAAAATGAAGCTAAACTCTGGTCTAAAAGAGACAAAATTTACCATGTAATTGATTTTATACACTATAAGAAGAAAAACAAATAAAAAGAAGACCCAGGGGGCTATTTCCAAAGCATTACTGTTATGTCTACAGTACACTTACTTCATTAAGCAGATATTTACACTTGATATCCTTTTTGTGAAGCTACATGTGGGTGCCATGACATATTCCCCTAGAATACGCCAATTATCATTGTTAAATTGTCAAATTACCCACACTTCTCTCCATTATTGAGTTTTAGAAACTGGCTCCTGGAGTTTCCCATAATGTTAAGGTATCTAAGTACTGTGTGTCTTACAAATTAGACACATGTCTCTCCTCCAAAATGCTGTCTACGTGGGAGTAATTTAGTAACATATATTTACACAATCACCGTCATGCTGGAATTGTAGGCTTCACTTTTCCTGGACATGTATGTATTGAATTTAGATTTTCCAACATCAATGAAAGCATAACAGGGAGAAAGTTTTACTTACAAACCACGTAATTATAGGCTGTCTGTACCTCTAAATGTCACACAGGAGAAATAGATTCTATAACTCTCCATCCTTAAATCAACTGATAGTAATTAATGATTACTTTCCACTGTACGATAACTTACGAATAATGTATGGTTTTATCATTGTTATTTGGAAAACGTGTTTGTTTTGACTAAATACCTCTCACCTGTTTGATCCGAGCTGGTATAAGACACACACTTACACATGAATACAGTTTACCTTTATTTTCATCTGTCCAATGAGCAGTCGGTAGGCATACGTAACATGTACTCAGTAGCTACTAGTGTTTTTACCTGTACACATTTTGTAAAGTAAGGGAGATAACTCTGCAGAGTAAACGTCGGTTTACTGCGACCGCGTAAATTACCCCCGCGCATATAGTTTTAACCTTCAAATCGCGTAATTTTTACCCAGCGTAAATAACCATGTTTACAGTACCATACTTTTTTGTACAGTAGATAGTCTATTTAACATAGCATACTTTTCTGTACAAAAGCTGATCTGTTTTACGTACCATACTTTTCTTACATACCTTCATTTTTCCTACAGTAGGTACAATGTAGCCTGTTTAACGCACCATACTTTACGGTACAGTAGCTGGTCTGTTTTATGCACCATACTTTACTGTGCAGTAGCTGGTCTGTTTTATGCACCATACTTTACTGTGCAGTAGCTGGTCTGTTTTATGCACCATACTTAACTGTGCAGTAGCTGGTCTGTTTTATGCACCATACTTTACTGTGCAGTAGCTGGTCTGTTTTATGCACCATACTTTACTGTGCAGTAGCTGGTCTGTTTTATGCACCATACTTAACTGTGCAGTAGCTGGTCTGTTTTATGCACCATACTTTACTGTGCAGTAGCTGGTCTGTTTTATGCACCATACTTTACTGTGCAGTAGCTGGTCTGTTTTATGCACCATACTTTACTGTGCAGTAGCTGGTCTGTTTTATGCACCATACTTTACTGTGCAATAGCTGGTCTGTTTTACGTACCATACTTTACTGTACAGTAGCTGGTCTGTTTTACGTACCATACTTTACTGTACAGTAGCTGGTCTGTTTTACGTACCATACTTTACTGTACAGTAGCTGGTCTGTTTTACGTACCATACTTTACTGTACAGTAGCTGGTCTGTTTTACGTACCATACTTTACTGTACAGTAGCTGGTCTGTTTTACGTACCATACTTTACTGTACAGTAGCTGGTCTGTTTTACGTACCATACTTTACTGTACAGTAGCTGGTCTGTTTTACGTACCATACTTTACTGTACAGTAGCTGGTCTGTTTTACGTACCATACTTTACTGTACAGTAGCTGGTCTGTTTTACGTACCATACTTTACTGTACAGTAGCTGGTCTGTTTTACGTACCATACTTTACTGTACAGTAGCTGGTCTGTTTTACGTACCATACTTTACTGTACAGTAGCTGGTCTGTTTTACGTACCATACTTTACTGTACAGTAGCTGGTCTGTTTTACGTACCATACTTTACTGTACAGTAGCTGGTCTGTTTTACGTACCATACTTTACTGTACAGTAGCTGGTCTGTTTTACGTACCATACTTTACTGTACAGTAGCTGGTCTGTTTTACGTACCATACTTTACTGTACAGTAGCTGGTCTGTTTTACGTACCATACTTTACTGTACAGTAGCTGGTCTGTTTTACGTACCATACTTTACTGTACAGTAGCTGGTCTGTTTTACGTACCATACTTTACTGTACAGTAGCTGGTCTGTTTTACGTACCATACTTTACTGTACAGTAGCTGGTCTGTTTTACGTACCATACTTTACTGTACAGTAGCTGGTCTGTTTTACGTACCATACTTTACTGTACAGTAGCTGGTCTGTTTTACGTACCATACTTTACTGTACAGTAGCTGGTCTGTTTTACGTACCATACTTTACTGTACAGTAGCTGGTCTGTTTTATGTACCATACTTTACTGTACAGTAGCTGGTCTGTTTTAGGCACCATACTTTACTGTTAACTAATTGGTCTGTCTGTCTGTCAATGCTTGATCCGTTCCTTAGGTGAAAACTGTTTCATATTAATGTGATTTGTCTCTTTCAGACAGCAAACAAGACTAGCCTCCTTTGGATTTTCTTGCCCCTGGAAAGAATGTGTCTTCCACAGACATTGTTAGCTACATGTAATATGATTTCTTAGGTAATCACATACATAGACCCGTGACCACCGCACATTCACCCCACATGGAAATTCTAAAGAACTGTTTTTTTATAATTGCTACAAAGGACACGTAAACTGCTTTATTCATGCCAAAAATTACATAACTACTGTATCTGACACCGACATGCTCACATGACCTACATACCAATGTACAAAGTTACACTGTTGGACACTGTCACATGAACTACACTGTTGGACAAAGTTACCTGACCTACACTATTGGACACTGTCACATGACCTACTCTGTTAGACACTGTTTGACACTGTCACATGACCTACAATGTTCAACACTGTCACATGACCTACACTGTTGGACACTGTCACATGACCTACACTGTTGGACACAGTCACCTGACCTTATACTCTATTGGACACTGTCACATGACCTACTCTGTTAGACACCCGTCACATGACCTATTCTGTTAGACACTATCACATGACCTACACTGTTGGACACTGTCACATGACCTACACTGTTGGACACTGTCACCTGACCTACACTGTTGGACACTGTCACATGACCTACACTGTTGGATACAGTCACCTGACTTACACTATTGGACACAGTCACATGACCTACTCTGTTAGACACTGTCACATGACCTAGTCTGTTAGACACTGTCACATGACCTCCACTATTGGACACTGTCACATGACCTACTCTGTTAGACACTGTCACATGACTTACACTGTTTGACACTGTCACATGACCTACACATTGGACACAGTCACATGACCTACTCTGTTAGACACTGTCACATGACCTACTCTCTTGGACACTGTCACATTACTTGCATTGTTAATACAATATTCCTCTCCGTATAAAGTTTGTTTTTCTCTCTGGAGAGTCAACTGTGATTTATCGCTGTGGTTTATCGCTGAAACGCCCTCAAACAATTACACCGTCTAGCCAACCCAAAAGTTACGTACTCCTAACAAATCGAGTCTATTCCTTCATTCTATGGTTCTGACATCTTGTAAGCATGGGCATGATTTAATTGTATTTCACAGAAATGGCTTCGTTTCCATTTTCCACATCAGGAAACTTCCCAGACTTAACAAGAATCTACTTTGTTTTAATGATTTATCGGCAGATCAATTCGGTTTGGCTCACCAGAACTTTTTTTCTGCACTAAATTTAGTCAATGAATTACATTTTTGGTCAACTTAAAAAACCAATGCATACGTTTTTGTCTAAGCAGTGTTGTAATGTCAATTCATGTATAAATATCAAATATAATTAGTCATGCCTTTCTCCTGAGTTGTTAATGATTAGTGATATCAATGGAACCTTACCACTATATCACCATGGCAACCATCCTGATGGAGATGTTTCTAGTACTTAGTTGTAATGAAGAGCGATTCAGATTTCCCCCAGATAGAAATGATAGTTGCCTGTCATAACCATCAATCAGCACTAATCAGCTGGCTATAGACCTATGATTGTATTGTCAACAGGGTCTGGTAGATCGCCCTGTTGATCTCAAATTAACTGATGGTCCAGGAGGCTTCTCTGTTAAAGAGGCCATGACCCATTGCTTAATTCATCTCCATTAGCTATATAAAAAGGTTATGTCATATTTGTAAATTTTGTATTTAAAAAAAAAAGAATAACAAATTTCATTGTTTTACTATAGATAACAACACAAACTGTCACTGTTATAAAGTACTGAAGATGAAAATCAGTCAACTGCTTCGTAAGAAATCTTTTACAAAAGTTCTAAATCTGTACCGTATTCCCTGTTCACTTTTGAATACAAGTCACTAAACATTTGGAACAGACAATTTCCATTAGAGATTGAAACAACTTCAATCACCCAAAACGGTCTGATAGTATACGTTCTGAATAATGGTAATTATTTTTAAATGATATCTCGTTTGTAATTTCTCTTGGCTTTTGAGAATCTGTGCTCCAAATGAGCCAGTGTTGCCAATAGGACTGTGATGTACACACCTACACGTTTTTACAGTTTATTGTTTACACACTTGATTCACGATAGCCTCTACATTTATCCTCCCTGCTGCCGTGTTACGTTTAAAATCAGATTTTTCCAATCTTACAGCTCAATCTGTGACAGTCGCTTCTGATCACGACATGTTCATCTCCTGTAGTGGTCTAGCCTGCTCTCTCTACGGAGCTCTTGTTCAGCCGTGGGAACTAGTCTGTCGTCCTACACAGTTATAATGGAAATGTTGGAGGTGACTATAAAATCGAAACCGGACACTGACATTGAATCCCCGGAATTCATTCTCTTGCCGTTGGGATGGGATTGAGTGTTAATGAAAATAACATAAACAGAAGAAAACAAATTAGAATTAAATATTCCCAATGTTTTGAGATATATTTTTTCTAACCTGGGTTAATAAGGACATCCCTGTGGAATTTCTTCTTTTTTAATTACTATTATTTTCTGCCTTTTATGTGATTTATTTACTTTTAAATATTGATAGCTTTATCTGGACCGTATGTCACGAGTAAACCTTCCTAAAATCCTTTAAAATATCAAAAAATCTTCAACTTTGGCTCTAACAAAGTAATTAGAGGCTTCAGAGTAGCACAAATGATTCAATACTATGATATATGCTATAGAATTTATGTTTTATATGTGTCACAAATTTCTCACGAATTCAGAGAAAAAATCTCATTATTTTTGACCAAATCTCACTAAAAATAATCACTGATCTCACTATTTTGCACCGAAAGTTATGGCATGTATGTAACAATACACTCCTACAACTCTCATCATACCTCAGGGATCAGAACTAGATTTTAAATTCTGTGCATTTAACCCTGGTTGTCTGTGTCAGGGAGAGCTAATGGCTAAACCACTAGTTGTGTGGCCATTTTGTTAACATTCTCCCGGTCAGACAAGCTGCAGTCATAGATTGTCAATCTTGTTCATTGCTTCACATGGTTTGTCAATGTGTTTGATGATTTAATTAACTCTAAGTTTGTTCGATATCCTGTTGTTGTATTTACCACCTGTCAATTACACTGACGTCCTGACAATCCTATTGACAGCCCCTCAGTTGTATTGAATGTCTACCAATCCCACTGCCTTAATATCAAACCTGTTGAACTTCAGTCAGTTTTTACAACGTCATGTCCATTGTGTTGACTGTGTTAATCAATATCATGTTTATCCTGTTTATTTCCTATCAATGTCACCGTATGCCCGTCCCAAAGGGGGCATGGCATGTATAGAGAACCCTACCGCGAGGTCCATATGTAGTAAGTGTCATACAGATTGTTGGGGAGGGGATCCCTATGTGCCATATATACTTTGGTTTGGTTTGTTTGTGTTTTACGTCCTAATAACAGCTAGGGTCATTTAAGGGCGTGTCAGGTTTTGGTGGTGGAGGAAAGCCAGAGTTCACGTAGAAAACACCACTGACCAGTACCTGGTGACTGTCCCACGTAGGTCTCGAACCCACAACCCAGTGATGGAGAGCTATAATGGCTAACGCTGTTCCTGCATGTGCCATACACCTTTGGACCGATCCATCCTCTTAGCATTATGGCTGGCCTTTCTTTACTTAATACATATCACACCACTTTTGTAATGGTGTCAGTTTAACTTTAGAGTTTGATGAACAATGATTGAATGATCACAGAAGGATTAATTCGTAACATGAAATATCCTTCCATTTTTCTTTACATTTTGGATATGATACTTTCCTTAATTAACACATCATTTTTAAAACCACTTAGTTTATAAAATCACTTAGGGTGGAATGCACTGAACTCACCGGTGACTTTGCTGCCATGGCGATGAGGAGGTCCTGAGCCTGTTGGAGGGCAAGCTCGGCCGGGGGTACGACCTTGCCCTCACTCTTCAAGGGACTGTTGCCCGTGGTCACGTGTTTCTTTTCCTCTTTAGTGTCCTTCTTATCTTTTACTAGTAAAATAGAAAAAAAATAAAGATTACAATTACGTATGGTACCTTTTTTTAAATAGTTGGTGTCATCGTCTGAAAGACGGTCCAGATTTGTAAAGTGCATTCAAACTCAGTTCACAGTTAACCTTGTCCGCTCAGAGTACTGTTCTGAGAGTGCAATATATATGTAACCTTGTATTGCCTAAAAACTTACTTTATATTAACACTCACAAGGTATGTGATGTGGCATCCTTAGTGGCCTAATTGGTTCAATGGAAAAAAAGGGTTAGCATATAGTTTAACAAGTTATTGACTTACCCGTAGTCTGTTTAGAGTTTTGTTTCAGAAGTGAGTTTTGGGATTTAAATGTTAAAAGTTTTTTCTCTTTGTTGTTTTAGAGAGAAAATTAAATTGTTCTCAATAAAAAATAAATATTATTGTGCTGTAAAACTAACTATTCAGACTTTGAACATCCAGATTTAAAAGATATTAAAACACTTTTTATTTTTTTGAAGTAAACAAATCAATCCTGCTGTCTTTTTTGAATGCTAATAAGATTTGTGGAATTCCATGATACTTTCCCTCCTGAACAGGCAATCAGAATTAACAGCCTGTAACTCAATCAGATAGCCGTGCATCACTACACTAACATCTAAGTCTGTGCTATGTTTATATCTAACATTTATTGGATTGCATGTTTTCATTTCAAATGAATGTTTTGATTTTTCAAAAAGAATATCTCTCCTGCAAACTTCTTTTGGATGATAGTTATGAAATCATTTTTATTAATTTAAGCTTAATTGGCAAATTCCAAACCTCCACAACATTGGTGAGGTCATTTACTTGTGGGGTTTAAGATAATGGGTTGCATCTGGTATTGATTCCTGAGAGAGGCCTGCTTGAGGGAAATCATTCTGGTAATAAATATATACATTCATTTGTAAATAAATATCCCTATTAATTAGATATTATATATACACTACATTTATTTTCAGCTGACCATCATCTTTACTTAAATGTACTTACAGAAGATTGTACAAATATGTTCTTAAACATTTTTGATGTACGTTGACTGATTTCTACATTGATTTTTTTTTCTTTAAAATCTCCTGTTGGTGCCTTCTATGAAATGTCTATGAATTTCTGAAAGTTACAACAAATTAACAACTGAGACTTTTAAAAAGAGTACATGGCTATGGCGAATTTCCTTTTAGACTCTTTGGGGCCTATAAATATAATTGGGATAATAACTGGATGTTTTTAATGTTTTTAACCTTAATTGAAAATAAATTGAAATTATGTAAGGTTGTTTTCCATTAAATAATGAATCAATATTCATGAAAATAACTGAGTCATAATGTGTAACTCAGATATTTGGTTTCCTTTGTTAAATGCCTCATATTCAAAAAGAAATAAAACACTCAAGCCATTCCAGATGTTTTATGAGGAATCTGTAATGTCTGAAATTCAAATATTCTAAAAAGTGGTCAATCAATTTCAATTTCTGATTTTATGGAGAAAAAAAAGTTACTGATGTGTAAGTGTGTAAGTCAGGCAAGTCTCGGGCAAAGATTCTGTAACATCCCAACCTCCCCTTATGCCTTCATTTGAATTATGTTACAGAATCTTAGCCTTCGACTGAGATACATGCATGACCTAATCTCCCTTAGTTACAGCTGGTTACTGAATGTTTCTCACATCTTTCAGTTGGAAAAACAATGGAACTTCACCAAAGTCTATATTAGTATTTAGATTATCTACTGGGAATGACAGTGGTTAAATTATCTACTGGGAATGAAGATGGCTGGATAATCTACTGGGAATGTAGATCACTGAATTATCTACTGGGAATGATGGTGGCTGGATTATCTACTGGAAATAAAGGTCACTGGATTATCTACTGGGAATGAAGGTGGCTGGATTAGTTACTGGGAATGAAGGTGGCTGGATTAGTTACTGGGAATGAAGGTGGCTGGATTAGTTACTGGGAATGAAGGTGGCTGGATTAGTTACTGGGAATGAAGGTGGCTGGATTAGTTACTGGGAATGAAGGTGGCTGGATTAGTTACTGGGAATGAAGGTGGCTGGATTAGTTACTGGGAATGAAGGTGGCTGGATTAGTTACTGGGAATGAAGGTGGCTGGATTAGTTACTGGGAATGACAGTGGCTGGATTAGTTACTGAGAATAATAGTAGCTGGATTATATACTTGGAAGAAAGGCGGCTAGATTATCTACTGGAAATGAAGTTTGACAATATCTACTGGGAACGAATATGGCTGGATTATCTACTGGGAATGGAGGTCACTGGATTATCTATTGGAAATGGAGGTCACTGGATTATCTATTGGGAATGAAGGTGGCTGGATTATATACTGGTAACTTAGGTGGCTGGACTATCTACTGGGAATGGAGGTCACTGGATTATCTACTGGGAATGGAGGTGGCGGATTATCTACTGGAAATGGAGGTTACTGGATTATCTCCTGGAAATGAAGGTTACTGGATTATCATCTGGAAATGAAGGTTACTGGAAAATCTATTCGGAATGGAGGTGGCGGATTGTCTACTGGAAATGGAGGTTACTGGATTATCTCCTGGAAATGAAGGTTACTGGATTATCATCTGGAAATGAAGGTTACTGGAAAATCTATTCGGAATGGAGGTGGCGGATTATGGAGGTCACTGGATTATCTATTTGGAGTGAAGGTTACTGGATTATCTTCTGGAAATGAAGGTTACTGGATTATCTACTGGGAATGGAGGGCACTGGATTATCTATTGGAAATGGAGGGCACTGGATTATCTATTGGGAATGACGGTTGCTGGATTATCTACTGGAAATGGAGGTTACTGGATTATCTCCTGGAAATGAAGGTTACTGGATTATCATCTGGAAATGAAGGTTACTGGAAAATCTATTCGGAATGGAGGTGGCGGATTATGGAGGTCACTGGATTATCTATTTGGAATGAAGGTTACTGGATTATCTTCTGGAAATGAAGGTTACTGGATTATCTTCTGGAAATGAAGGTTACTGGATTATCATCTGGAAATGAAGGTTACTGGAAAATCTATTCGGAATGGAGGTGGCGGATTATGGAGGTCACTGGATTATCTATTTGGAGTGAAGGTTACTGGATTATCTTCTGGAAATGAAGGTTACTGGATTATCATCTGGAAATGAAGGTTACTGGAAAATCTATTCGGAATGGAGGTGGCGGATTATCTACTGGAAATGGAGGTTACTGGATTATCTACTGGGAATGAAGGTGGATGGATTATCTACTGGAAATGGAGGTCACTGGATTATCTATTGGGAATGACGGTGGCTGGATTATCTACTGGAAATGGAGGTCACTGGATTATCTACTGGGAATGACGGTGGCTGGATTATCTACTGGAAACGGAGGTGGCTGGATTATAGAGACCCTACTGTTTATCATACCTTTTGTTTAATGATGTGTGCAGAATTGTTAATGATTTTTTGTTCAGGAAATACAAGGAAATACACCCATCACAATTAATTATCATGAATAATATGTCCAAACTAATGTCTTTAACTGTCTGTTTAATCACTACAACCATTACACTTTAACAAGGCTAATTTCATGTCTAATATGTTTAAACACATCTAAGCAGTATATAAGGCCTAAACCAATGTCTTTTTAATCACAACAAAACATGGTAAAGTGTTACTAATGTATTGTCTGTTTTACCAGTACCTACCTTTATAATGATACCAAACCAATGTACTGTCTGTGTTACCAGTACCTAACTTTATAATAAGACCAAACCAATGTATTGTCTGTTTTACCAGTACCTACCTTTATAATGAGACCAAACCAATGTATTGTCTGTTTTACCAGTACCTAACTTTATAATGAGACCAAACCAATGTACTGTCTGTTTTATCAGTACCTACCTTTATAATGAGACCAAACCAATGTATTGTCTGTTTTACCAGTACCTACCTTTATAATGAGACCAAACCAATGTATTGTCTGTTCAGCACTGACTTTAATCATATTGAATCAAAATTACTTTTTACAAAATACTGATGAATAGACAAGCTCCATTGTCAGAGCCCCGTTGTCACAGTATACAATCTACAAGATTGAAGATTTACCTAGCTTTGAGTCTCCTGCTTCTAAATCTTCTGAGAAATGGCTGCTACGTTCTGGATCATTGTTTTGGGCAGCATGGTGGATTGTAAGCTTGTGACAAACCTCGAAAGCCTGACCAATTGTTCGGACAATTCGCATAGCCTGACTCTGAAAAGAAACAAATACAAAAAACATCAAAATAATAAGTTTAAGACAATGTGGCAAAAGAAACAAACAGCATTACAATAAAAGTGATATACAAAATGAGCTAAGATGACAAGGCCCAGGAAGAATAACACTGTCTTTCCCATGTTTTCTTCCCAGAAATGCAGCTACTCAGTTGTACAGTTTTGCAGGATAGAGTAAATATATTTCAAGTTAATCCCGAGTCACTGTTTTCCCAGCTGAAGTGAGAGGTTATATAGAAAATCAATGAATTACTTGGACACTGGACAATCTAAAGAGCTTAATATATATTATCATAAAGATTATGTACACTTTTAATTTAAGTGTTAACCTGTCTAAACAGGACACATACTGCACATAAAATCCATCAGTACATGCAGATTCTAGACATTAAACAGTCCAAAAGACTATATGTTTGTAAATTGAATCTGATTTAATAAACCTGTGAACCTGTTTGATTTGCAACTACAGATGTTTCTATATACAGCAGTGTTCAGTTAAATAAAATTCTTTATTTGGTAATACAACAGTACCATATTTGCTGTAATAAGCATCCAGGGCACATGAAATTTGGCAGAAGGGTTGCTTATTAAGATAAGGAAACATTTTAGGTAGTTGGTGTAAAGGCAACATAACTGTCGGCCACATTCCCAGACAGAATTCCTAAATTGTTCTCTTTTTTCTTTCTAAAATATTTGACAACAGTCTTTTGGAAAACAGGGGGCTTATATCATTCAATAAGTGATGAAAAACGGGGAGGGTGCTTTAATAAGGGGAGGGACGCTTATTATGGTAAATACGGTAGTTGCTTAATGATCTACAGCGATACTGCATCAAACACAGAATCTGTTTTAGCAGAACAAACATTGCCTTTCCTGCAGACACTAGTTGTTATCTTACTGATTTAATTTGGATTCATTTATCCTGAAAACAGTACCTAACATGCATTTGTTTTCTGACTTTCAACAGATAATGAAATTCCCATTTCTTCACCTGGTCTTACGCAATTTCCTAGAACTGCACCAATCTTGCTTAACTTAAAAGTAAGAGCAGTATGTATTCTGAAGACTTTTGATAAAACCAGATCTTAAGGCCAAATAAATATTTTAAAAAAAATCACATCACTGTACAGCACTTATATATTTCTCAGGGTCAAACTTCTCAGCTTTGTTCATGGAGTATAAGTTTATCGAGTATATGTTTGTCGCAATACTGTGCATTGTCAATATTTGCTACTAAATCTATTTCAGAAGGACAGTTAATTTGTGGGGCATATATCTTACACATTTTTCAGGCTAAAATATAGCATATACATGTACATCCTCAGAGAAATAATCTAAATGCTACACCTGTATTCAGAGACCACCCACAGGAAGTTTGTAAAGTGTATTCTTCTTGTAGATGCTCTCGTTTTAACCCATTCACCCCTAAAGTCACATTTTAACCTGACCAAATCATAGACTGGGCAAGTCAAGTTTTAATATATAGGGGTAAATGATAAATACAATGGGGACTTTACAAGTGCATGGTCTCTTAAACACAGGTGATCTCGATATCGCTCTTGATTAACAAGGGCAGTTCTCTAGAGCAGGTTCAACTGCATTATAAAACACAATATTAATGGAGAATTCAAAGACAGTTTTAGCAGTTATCATACATTAGAATATGTCATTATACGTCCAATGTGTTGCAACAAACCAGTAACTGACTTTCAGCAGACACAATCATACGCACCTTTTCTCTGTGGTCAGAGTTTTGGAGACTGAGTGTCTTCCTGCAGAAAATATTGTATCATTTGCTCTAAACTTAACATGAATGTTGCCATACACAAACCTGTGGTTGTTTTACCAGCAGGGCAGACAATACATTACATAACATTAACTTACCATACACAAACCTGTGGTGGTTTTACCAGCAGGGCAGACAATACATTACATAACATTAACTTACCATACACAAACCTGTGGTGGTTTTACCAGCAGGGCAGACAATACATTACATAACATTAACTTACCATACACAAACCTGTGGTGGTTTTACCAGCAGGGCAGACAATACATTACATAACATTAACTTACCATTCACTTTCCAGTTAAGACATATCAATATGTTTGCACCAGCAGATCAAAAATCAAACTGCAGACATATCAAAGATTACAAAAACATTCAGAGAATGTTCATGGGCAGTGTACCTTTGAGTCTATAGAGCTACAAACCCACCCACAACTTACCTCCTCAATGGGCAAAGTTATCTAATGGAATTTCCCATGAGCCAGTGCCCTCGCCTCCTGTATCAAACAAAATGGCTGCCTTGGATATATGCTGAAGCCTATGAAATACTTTCCATACCTTTCAAGAAAGCTGGCACCATTCCAAATTGTAATTTCAAATATGTTATCTAGAATAGCTGTTTTCGAAACTCTGAGAAAAAATATACCAAATGAAAATTTGAAATGACAGTTAAAACATTTCAACTTTCTATTTTTAACACTTTCATTACCTGATCGTTTCAGGTAATACGATTCTGTGATGTTATGAAAGTGTAAACTTAGGTTTTCTTTTCCTACAAGGTTTCTCTGTTGCTAAGTTCTGTTAATGTGTTGAACACCTGTAAATAAATCTGTTTAATACATTGAGAAATAGCAGCATTGCCATGGCAACACCAGGGTAAAAACTGGCAGGTAACTTTTCTGGCGTTTTGAGTAAGTCTAATGTTTATTTGTAGGGCTTGGATTTCTGTGTAAGTTGTAACAAGAGGATGCTCCACGCCAACATGAACCCTCCCAATTAGTATCTTATAAAAATAGTAAAAGCTGGCAATTACATATGCCCACAGACTGGTAGCATGGAATCTGACATTATCAGATTCAGCGGTTGATACCAGCTTGCTTTTTACCTTCCACCCCTAGTCTGCTGAAACATGACAGACTGTTTCTTGGCTGTCTAAACCACCAATGAGGGAAAACATATTTCCTTTTTGTTATTGTTGATACCTCATGACTTTCAGAGAATTACTTAATAAATTTTGCCAAATTAAGGATCTCAGATGTACAGTTGGGTGTTGTTGTTTTGTCCCTTTACCAGCTCTTTATATGTGACCAATGCTTTAGTAAGAATTTATTAAGAAGTTCATGATATGTATCATAAATACATAGGTTGTTATTATGATTTTATCTGTAACATGACATTTCATTGAGACAGCACTATAACGCCAGCTGTCCTGTGTTTGTGACATGACATTTCATTGAGACAGCACTTTAACTCCAGCTACCCTGTGTTTGTGACATGACATTTCATTGAGATAGCACTTTAACTCTAGCTGTCCTGTGTTTGTGATGACATTTCTGTGAGACAGCACTATAACGCCAGCTGTCCTGTGTTTGTGATTACATTTCTGTAAGACAGCACTATAACTCCAGCTGTCCTGTGTTTGTGATGTCATTTCTGTGAGACAGCACTATAACTCCAGCTGTCCTGTGTTTGTGATGTCATTTCTGTGAGACAGCACTATAACTCGAGCTGTCCTGTGTTTGTGATGACATTTCTGTGAGACAGCACTATAGCTCCAGCTGTCCTGTGTTTGTCATGACATTTCTGTGAGACAGCACTATAACTCCAGCTGTCCTGTGTTTGTGACATGACATTTCATTCAGACAGCACTTTAACCCCAGCTGTCCTGTGTTTGTGACATGACATTTCATTGAGACAGCACTATAACTCTAGCTGTCCTGTGTTTGAGACATGACATTTCATTCAGACAGCACTTTAACCCCAGCTGTCCTGTGTGTGTGACATGACATTTCATTAAGACAGCACTTTAACCCCAGCTGTCCTGTGTGTGTGACATGACATTTCATTCAGACAGCACTTTAACTCCAGCTGTCCTGCGTTTGTGATGACATTTCATTGAGACTGCACTTTAACGCCAGCTGTCCTGTGTTCGTGATATGACATTTCTGGGAGACAGCACTTTAACTCCAGCTGTCCTGCGTTTGTGATATGACATTTATATGAGACAGCACTTTAACGCCAGCTGCCCTGTGTTTGTGATATGACATTTCTGTGAGACAGCACTATAACTCAAGCTGTCCTGTTTTTGTCTTTCTTTAACATTCTTTATCGAGCCATATTTTTGAATGCACCACATTTCAAAAGAATCACTTCATCATGCTTTCTGTATGAGACAAATTGCAGTACAATCAAGCTATAAATTATGTCATGTTGTCTGTTTGAGACAAACAGGATGTACCTGTATTGTGCCTCGTTGTGAAACACACATTACTGAGTAAGATCATTCTGTTTTGTGTTGTCTATGTAAGACACAACCGTTATAAATAGGATCCCCTTTGTTTTGCCCTCTGTAATGCATATGAAACATAACATTTTCAGGAAAATCACCTTCTTTTGTCAAATGATATTCAGATTAAATAGAATGTGTTTTATCCAATATGTTAGGACCACACAAAATATATTACTGATGAAATTACCACAGATGGACATATTAATTTCACTTGTAGGAAAACAATTCAATAGAAGACATTGTTTCTCATGTTGAAGTCCTAATGATGTAAACATCTCATACAGTGCAAACACACTATATAATTTTCATTTTCATTATTGATAATGAGTCCGGCATTCTAAGAAATAACTGTTGATATAAAAAGGAGGAATGCAAATTTGGGCCTTCTGGTGGCTATCACCGATAAGTTTCATTTGTGATTTTGGTCCCCCACCTTACCCCTTCATATCTTGGAATGGTCTCCAAGCTGACCTTAATTTCATTTCAAATATACTATTTTTAGTATCTCGTAACTCTTTTAGAGTGGCTTTCGTCATATGTTTTATATATATTTTATTGTATCATTGTAAAAATGTATGCAGAAGGTGAGACTCTAATAAAATATCTGTGTCTGTATCTTTATCATGATGCCATAACCCCAAGGTATATATTATCAGTGATTAAGCCACCACAGGGTTATCCT